GCAATCAGTAACACATTCAAATTAATATTAAGTTGACTGAGCCCTGTTAAAAAGACATACTGCATAGTTGGACTCCTTTTATTTACCTTCTTATCTTTAAGCCTTTAGGGTTCACATGGGAAGGGGTGACCCACACCTCTACCCCCCACACACATGAAGAGTGGTGACATACATGCACTGCCATACACCTTTCTCACATGGGAGGAGGGGGAGTGACCAACTGACCCAACCATCTCTCTCTGGTGTGCTCTACCCTCCATGCCTGGCTGGGCTCCTGGCATGGACCTGGTCTCTCCTGGTGCCTGGCACTGCACCTTCACAAGGCAATGTGTGAGGGGGACACACTCAGCTCACATCCCCCCTCCTGACAATTTCTGCCCAGGGTTCAGACCAAAACGTGGCCAGCAGCAGCCTTTCTGCACTGTGCAGGAGGGAAGGGACAGGTGCTGCTTCCAGCTGCAGGGAAGGAGAAGAGGGGGGAAGAATAATTTGTCCCATGTCTTTGCAGAGCTTTTCTCTCTCCTGCCCTCACACCCCTGTCCTGCTTTTATGTGGGTGGAAGCAACTTGTCCCTTCCTATCCACACTGTTTCCAAAGGCAGCTAACACTCGAAGGCTGATGCTGGCCATTGATATAACCCAACTGCATCCTGTCCCTTAGGCAGGAAGGAGTTAATCCATAAGGATACATTGTACACCAGGGCCCAGGGAACCTGACTGCACAGACTTCAGTGAACCTGGCCAGACAGGTACCTCCACATGAGAGCATGCCCAGGGGATGGAACAACCTCGTGCTCCCATGGGAAAGAGCCCACAGTAAGGATGAAGAGGGTGCTAAGCCACTTCCCTGTAGGGATTCTGTGTTGAGTCTGCATGTTTGGGGTGTGAACAGGCTGGAAATTGCTTCTTTCCCACCATTTTAGAGCTTAGCTGAGGGTCAGAGAAAGGCTTCCCAGTGCCAGTGCTGTGCAGGGCTTTGGCATATGCAGGGCTCAGCTCCTCCAGGCTGATACCCTGGGCCAGAGGGTTTCCTGGGATGCTGGGCCAGCCAAAGGCAGTGGAGGAAGCATGGAATCTGCTGGCCAGGTTGTTGATGAGCCCAGTGCTCCTACCAGGGGCTGGTTCACCAGAGAGAGCTGGGAGCAAGCTGTGCCCTGCCAGAGGGAGGTAGATATGGGGGAGCAACAGGGGTGGGGGACAGGGCTGGCCCACAACATTTTGGCACCTGAGGCGGGGAGCTCAAATGATGCCCCCTCGCTTGGGCCAAAACTTTGAGAGGTCTCAATTCTGCCTTCTTCCTGTTCTACTCCTCTCATGGCACACCACCATCTCTGTGCATCTAGAGCAGAGAGAAGACATACGCACCAGCAGCAGACACAATTTTCTACACTCTGGGTCCTAGTGGTGCCCCCTCTCCCGCCCCCTGCCCAAGTCTGGCATTAGAGGCGGCTGCCTCAGTTCACCTCATGGTAAGGCCAGCCCTGGTGGGGGAGAAAATAGGTAAAGCATGGAGAGAACTGTCAGATGAGGAGCACATAAAGGACCAATGGGTGGGTAGCAGAAGTAGCATATAACCGACTGGCACCTGGCACGTGCATGCACTCTCCAACCACCACAGTGTGCAGCCAGTGGTGGCTTGGAAACGGATTGGGGGGAGGGGAGGCTGGGCCCTGCTGGCAAAGAGCCAGCATGCAGTGGAAGTTGCACTGAAGGATCAGCAGTGGGGGAGGATGACCCCACATGCTGCATCTTTGCCCCGCCACCAGTCTTGCACACACATCATGCTTGTTGGCCACTGGTCTCCTGTCCCCCATTCACTACTGGTGGGTGGGTGGCTGACAAGCAGGGATCTGGTCAGCATCTGGACTTGCCTTTAATGATGTGGGGGGGAGACAGAAACTATTGGACAAGTTGCCTGTTTTTAAGAAAAAGTCAGAACAGCTGCAGGTGCGCTTAAATATGAGACTGTCGCTTTAAAAATGGGACGTCTGGTCACTTTAGCAAGAGCAGAGAATGAAAGTAATATGTAGTTCCTAGAAAAGGATGTGAGACGACATGGCTGTGGTTTTGTACATTTACCTGCTTAATTGAATGTTAGCTTTACAAACGTAAGTTTATGAAAAGATCACTTGTAATGTCTAGTAAAATAATGGAACAAATATTAAGAGAAAATAATCAATAGCTTATTTTAGTATTTGCTTAAGAGAACCAGAACCATGAATAATTAGCATCATCTATATGGGTTTTTTTCTGGATTGTTCCCTCCCCAGTACAAGCTATGTACCTAATAAAGAATCAATCTTACCGCAAGGGGAAAAGCCCTATTTTTTTGCTGTTTAAGTTCCAGTATTAAGGGCTACAGGAGATTCAGCAGCTGTTTGCTATTTGGATTGTAGTCAATTATTGGTAACACGTCTTTCAAAGTTAATTCAACTCTGCTTCAGTACTGAGATGGACAGAACAGTTGAGGGGAAACCATGTTTGATACTTTTTTTTTTTTTATACTGCTGGATAACTAATTTGCACTGAACAAAACTGTTGGGGGTAAACAACCAACATAATGGCAGAAAGCTAACAGCCTGAGGAGAGCTCATTTTCATGGCACTGTGAAGCAAGCCAAGTGAGCAATAGCACCAACTCATTCAGCTCAGAGTAAAAAAGAATGTTTAAAGAAGGAAGACGAAGTAAAGAGATGAAGCTTGAGTCTTAGAAGGTCGTGGTGTGTGCAGGAAAAAGTAGAATGAAAGTTTAATCACCTTAAAACTGGCCTACAAAAGGTCTGCACAACTGAATCAGCACTGGGCTCTGGAACCCATCTTCATGCACACCATGGTAAATTCAAGTTGCTAGAAAAAAGGGGAAGAGGAGTGAGAGGGGAAGCATGAGGACTAGAGGCTGAATAATACAAGCCCATGTAGTCAAATGGGGACATGGATGATCTGAGGATTCAAGATTATTTGAGTTCCACATTAGTTAAGTTGTAATAGAAAGAGCCTTTCCAGCCACTCCATGAGGTTACTGATAACTCTAAAAAGAAATATGGAAGGGAGCAATTTATTTGCCTTTATTCCATATTTTCAACAATAAACTTGGTTGTATGAAACCTACTTCAATGTTACTACTGTGAGTCGTTTTCATGACCTATATTCAACTTGTGTCTTTGATCAAAGACATCAACCAGTCATCATGGCCTTGAGGGGTTGTTGGTATTCTGGCAGCCAGCCAACCAAATCATGGGAAAGGCCAGTAGAGAGTAAGAACAAGAACAAAATGTGGAGAGGCAAGAGGAACCACAGAACATGGAGGAAACCTGACTGAACGACTGCAACAAAGAATAATGGTAAATGGAAAAGCACTGAATTGAGGAATAGGTGTCTATTGGGATAGCACAGGAATCACTGTTAGTTCATGAAGATGTTAAATAAGGCAGGAGCTATTTGAAAGAGGAAGACAGCAGCAAGATAGTGAAATTTGCTTGGCTTCTAAATTATAAGGGGCAGCAAATACCAGACAGAACAGAAAAATAACACAAAAGGGGCAAGAAAAGTTAAAAGTAGGGGCAAAGACTGCAAAATGAAAGCTTAAAAAATAGTATGTTAATATGTTAGAATGAATCTCTGCAAGTTATCTGGACAAAAATAACCTAAAGTGCATATCCAATGGGGAGGGAGAAAGGGGAGGGGAGAAATACTGGAATGTAATAATGACAAGAGTATGACTGGCATAGTAGCGAATTCTAGATTAAACATGAATTTATAATGCCATTTATAAATGGCCATTGGCAATATGGCCAATGCATTTTTTGGGTTGCTTGAGCGGAGACATCAACTAATTGTGACAAAAAGTCAGGCTGGAGAACTGTAAGAAGACAGTGGAAAGAAGGTACATTAGACCTAGAATGATGAAGGTACTTTTCCCTATAAACTGAAAAGGGATTATCTCAGGTAAATTAGGGTACGTCTACACAGCAACATGTAGGAATAAGTAGGAATAAGATCCTCCGGAAAAGGGCGCTTTTTCCGGAGGATCGGGGCCAGTGTAGACGCTCTTTTCCGGCTTTTCTAAAAGCCGGAAAAAAGCGGCGGACATTTTTATTTAAATGCCGCGGGGGATATTTAAATCCCCCGCGGATTTCCCTATTACGGCTTCTGAAATTAACATGCCCCTTCCGGAAAAGGGGCCAGTGTAGACGTAGCCTCATTGTATGAGGAATAAGGGAAGTTGAAGGAAGAATGCTCTATTTCGAAATAAGTGCTTTGTAGATGCTGCCAATTTCGAAATAAGCTACATAATAACATAGCTCAATTTGCATAGCTTATTTCAAGTTAAGCCCAGCTGTGCAGACACACCCTTAGTAACATGCCCCTTCCGGAAAAGGGGCCAGTGTAGACGTAGCCTCATTGTATGAGGAATAAGGGAAGTTGAAGGAAGAATGCTCTATTTCGAAATAAGTGCTTTGTAGATGCTGCCAATTTCGAAATAAGCTACATAATAACATAGCTCAATTTGCATAGCTTATTTCAAGTTAAGCCCAGCTGTGCAGACACACCCTTAG